CGGCCTTCACCCTCAGGGGCGCTGCTGGGCCTCTCGCTCTTGCTCAACGGCAGGGACGTGGGCGCGGCGCTGGCGGACACGGCTGACGACCACAAGTGGGGCCTCCTGCTGACGGTGTGCGGCGTGGTGCTGACGGACTTCAGCGCCGACTCCGCCGACAACCCCAGCCATGCCTACATGATGGACGTGTGCGGCCCCGCCGACCAGGACCGGGGCCTGAGCATCCACGCGCTCCTGGCGGGTAAGTCCGCCCCGCACCCCCCTAACCGCCCCCACCCCCGCCAAGGCTGGCCGGCCACTGTCACTGTGCGCATTTGCAAGTCCCTGCCTCACACGCTGATTGGAAAACGAAGTTGACAAAATTCGAATCTTTGGATGGACAGCGAAGTGAGTGAAATGTGTCCCTCGAACCATATATAGCAACAATGACATCTGTAGCCGATATGCACGCACATGTGCTAACATAGTGAGCTAGGATGTACGTACATGGGCTGACACAGAACTAGATGTGTGCGTATAACTGCATGTATGTGAGTGTCACGTGTGCTTGATTCCTGTCACTGGTGTGCTTATGTCCTACGAAGTCACCGTGACCTCTGAATTAACTGATCCCGAATCACTGCCCCTGGGAGAAATACAGGGTTAGGCCCCCGCGAAGGCCTGGTCGTGGCGTTTTCATCAGCCGATCCATACGTGACCTGCTTCTCTGTGTTTCTGTCTAAAGACGCCTTGTTTACTATGTACCGTTGGTTCACGGGCATCTGCGCGGCCGACAGCGCGGTGACCGCAGGCCACAATGCCGCGACCTCACGCTGCGTCGCCTCCGTGAGGCCCCGCACGGGCTTCCGGCACTTGCAGAGACTAGAGAGCAGGACGTCGGCGCCACACTTGCGGGGCGTTTAACACAGCGAGGTCACCAACGACAAAAGCGCAAGGATGCAGACGGCTGGCACCACCCAGGTTACTTCCAGGATGAGAGCGGGCACGGAAACTCAGACCATCACCGTCCCAAACCCCGACGCGCGCCGCGGGCTGGGCCACTCGGAACTGTTGCTGCTCAGCCCGCGAACACCGTGATGATACTAAGCGTCGGGGCCGGGGTGCCGATTGGGGTTACAAATCAGTTTTAGTGAGTAGGTAAATTCGCAAGCTCGGAATCCAAAAAGAATGAGAGTCAATCATCTGTGTGCGTGTGCGTACATATGTGCCCTGCACAGGGCTACACACGCGCACACACACACACACACGCACACACCCCAAACGTGAAAACCATCCCTATGGAAGTCGAGAACAGGCAGGAATGGCCACAACCCCGCAGAGCCTCTGCACATGGATAGATGGTAAGAAAAAACGCGAGGTGTGCAGGGTGAGGATCACCACCGCGGCTCTGTGACCGCACGCACGGAAAATTCAACCGCAAAACAGGAAAGGAATTCAGGAGGACGTTTGCTCACCAGAGTCTTATGAAAACTGGTACCTCCAGCGTTCCTCCTTAGAACACGCGCCTTGTTACGAAGTAAAGTGAGAGAAGACAATCCCACGGAAAAGAGCAAGGAAAGGGATTTCTAAGAACCGGGGGGAAGACACGGCAAGCCGTGTGCCAGACCCGTACGCGAAGGACAGGCCGCCCAGCGGTGAGAGGCACGGGCTCTGGGGTCCAAAGCCTGAGTGGGCTCCGGGCTTTTCCTCCCGTTAATCGTGGGGTGTCGTCACATTGCTCGGCCTCTTCAAGCCCCAGTCACTTCTCCTAAAAAACGCCGTTGCTCATCTCTCTCTGTTTGCACCCACGTGTGGATGTGGGGCCGGCGCACTTCGTGGGGCTCGGCGGGGCCAGCACTGATGTCTGGAGTCAGGGAAAGGACTTCGTTTTTTTACCATATGCTTTTCTTTTTTTTTCTTTTATTTTATGTTAAAATACATATAACATAGAATTTCCCATCTTACCAGTTTTTAAGCGGACAGCACACTGGTTTTAAATATATTCACGTTATTGTGCAGCCGTTACACCATCCAGCCCCATATCACTCTTCATCTTGTAAGACTGAAACTCTATCACCGTTAAATAGCAACTCCCTGTCCCCCCGTTCCCTGACCCTCGGCAGCCACCATCCACTTTCCGTCTCTATGACTGACAACTGCAAGCACCTTGTGTAAAGTGAGCTCACACCACGTTTGTGACCGGCTTCCCATGTCGTGGCGTGTCTCAGAATTCCCTGCCTTTTTAAGGCTGAAAAAGAGCCCACCGTGTGTATCGACCACAGGTGGGTCACCTGCTGACGGACCCGCAGGTCGCTCCCGCATCCTAGGTGCTGTGGACGGAGCGGCTACAGACACGGTGTGCAAACACCTCTCCGAGACCTTGCTTCCAGGGGGCGTCGGCGTGTTCCCAGGAGCCGAGTTGCCGGCGCGCACGGCAGCTCCGTGTTGAGCGTGTTCAGGGACAGCCACGCTGTTTCCCTCTGCGGCTGCGCCGCTGTGCGTCCCACCAGCGGGGCACCAGGCTTCCGATTTCTGCGCATCCTCGCCAGCACTGGTGGTTTTCTGTTTCTTCGAGCGTAAACATCCTGATGGGCGCGAGGTGGTATCTCGTCCTAGCTTCGATGTGCATTTCCCTAATGATTACTGATGTTGAGTGGTTTTTCGTGTTATTTCTTGGCCGTTCGTATGTCTTCTTTGAGGAGTGGCCATTCCAGTCCTGGGCGCATTTTTGAATGGGAGTGGTGGTGGTTTTTGAGTTGATGTACGGTTTCTTAGCTATGAGAATGTATTGATAATTTACTAATAAGGTTTATCCCAAATCTGGCCTGATTCAGAGTCACAAAAGAGCAATTGTGTCTTCAAACGGGGGTGGGGGAGCTGGTTAGGATGGTGAACGTGAGAAGTTAAAAGAATAATAGGTTGACGCACGAAACTAAAAGGCTTCTCAGGACAGTCGGGGACAGATGACGGCAGCGCCACAATGAGACCGCCGAATACTTGGACTCGGCGTCATGTCCCATCTGAGGGATGCGTGGAAGTTCCAGCTGAAGGTGTCTGAAGCCCTGGCTCTTCCGGAGAAGTCGCTGGGGCTGGTTTTCCCCGTTGTGGCGGGATTTCCACAAAGCAGGAAAGGGGAGTGGAGAACGCGCCCCCAACCCGTAGACTGGCTCAGGGAGCAGCTGAACCCCGGGGAAGGACACACGAGACCCAGGAGGGGGAGCGTGCGGGGGC